ACGGCAGCTAAAAAAGTCAGTAGAAACAATAAACGCTCATTTGATGAAATGGCGACAGGTTTTGCTCCGGTCAATGCGCCAGAAAATGTTCCAATCGTGGGCGAAATGGTGCTTATGTATTCGCAACCTTCGCGACACTTTTTGTGTCTGACTAATTCAGGCATCCAACTATTCAAGAAAATTCGACCGCTGGACCAACTACATCGCGTACTGCTACTCTCCCGTGGTCATGAACAAAAGGCAGCAATAGCACCGTTTGTGCGCTGTTTTGGGGAAATTCAAGTTATTTGTATGCTCATTGCGCTGGCGTGTGGTGTTCCAACAGATCCTTTAGAGACAGAGACATGTACGGCGGCTTCGCTGATTGCACCGCGACCTGGCGGCTTGTTGACGATTAAAAGTGACGAGTATGTATACACGGCTGCAGTTCAAAGCATTTTTGAGATCGCACAAGGTCCTCCTGATTCTGTGCCAGTAGAGTCTTCTCCTTCTACATCTGGCACGTCTACCTCTGCTACCAGCACACGTATTGTTCTGACGACAGAGTTTGGTATGTCGTATCAACACGACGGACTTGTAGCGTTTACCTCTCGAGTCCTACGCCCACTCTGGACTTGCAAGACCCTCGGTCGATGCGTACTTTCTCGTGATTTTAAGGCTGAAACCAAATCACTTGACAATGTGAAGATCTTTGAGAGCGTCCAGCCCCCTGAAAAGCTGGACGAGATCCGCGAAATTCTCTTTCAACTGCGGCAACTGATGGAGACTGCAGTACCATTTGCCGTATCGATTAATGGCGGTGCTGCACTTGAGAACAACCCAAGTCTAGACGGTTTGTTGGACGAAAACACTGAGGTTGGACTCTCTCGTGTTGCAGAGCTTGTTATGCGGCACCACAAAGCGCTTAGCGAAGAGCAAGTCAAGCGCGAGACGCGGTTCAAAGCTGAACAGCGTTCTTTATACTATTTATATCAGTTGGTGCTACGAAGTATTGAAGCAATCTCATTACTACGGATTGCTCAAGAATACCAAGTTACTCTTGCAGAGCCTCTAGCTCGTCTTAGCTTTAGTGACCTGGTGACAACGACAGATGGTGCGCTAGCTGCCAAGACCATGACGAAGGTCTTGATTCGAGAACGCAACGAAAACAATCAGTTTCTGATCAAGCAGCTGCGTGAACAGTGCCCCACGTTCTTTTCCGTGTCGGATCTGTGGCATTATCAAGGATATCGAAGTCTGTCAAATGCTAAGCTAAGCGGCTCGCCTGTTGCTCGTCAAAACTTTTTAAAAGAGTCACTCGATCAATTTCTAAACGCGTGCCACATGTGGGACACTGAAGACTGTATTGACGTGCTTCAGGGAATCTGTGATGACTACGCGATTCTTAACTACTATGAAGGGGTAGTCAAGCTGTCACTAGCTTGCGCTAAGCACTTTCACGACGCAGCAGCCTCTGAT